CTCATAGCTTGGCCTCTCCTGGACACCTCCACGCCCAGCACAAGTAGCAGCCAACTACGGTTTGCTGTGTAGCTCATGCTGGGTGGCCCTGGGCAAGGCACTGGCAGAGGCTGACTTTGCACCTCCCAGGAGGCCCCAGAGACAGTGCACCTGGTGGTCAGACTCCACCACGCTGGATTACAACCCTACCACATCCACGAGTGACACACTCAAGGGGCGTACTTGGTGAACACCAAACCTCCACTGAAGTAAATCCTGCTCCATAGGGGTGTCTCCAGCACAGCAGCTCTTTGGCTGAGGTTGCAGCTGGTCCTCACAGCTGATTGGCCCGGGGGTCAATTCCTCCCAGGACGCCAACAGCAACCAAGGCTCAACTACAACAGGTCAGAGCACACAGCCCACGCAGAGCAGCACCTAGAAGGCCCAGCTCAGGTGATGGGAGGCTGAGCCANTACAACAGGACAGTGCACACAGCCCACACAGGGGAGCACCTAGAAGGCCCAGCTCAGGGGACTGGGGAGGCTGAGCCACTGGACCCTACCGGACACCTACTACACAAAGCCACTCTACAAATTCCAGGAGACATAGCAGCTCTACCTAATACATAGAAACAAACGCCTGGAAGCAGCCAAAATGGGGAGGCAAAGAAACATGTCACAAAGGAAAGAACAGAAGAAATCTCTAGAAGAGGAACTAAATGAAATAGAACCAAGCAAGCTAACAGATACAGAGTTCAGAATTTTGTTTATAAGGATGCTCAACCATATTAGTAAGTGTATTACGAAAACAAGTGAGACCATCAATGACATAATAAAGTACCAGTTTGAAATGAAGGCTACACGAACTGAAATGAAGAATAATTTACAGGGAATCAATAGTAGAGGACGCTGAGAATCAAAGCAGCAATTTGGAACATGAAGAAACAAAAAACACCCAACCAGAAGAGCAAAAAGAATCCATAAATATGAAGATAGAAGGAGTCTCTGGGACAACTTCAAGAGGCCCAACATTTGTATTATTGGGGTGCCAGAAGGGGAAGAAAGAGACCAAGGAATTGAAAACCTATTTGAAAAAATAATGACAGAAAACTTA